AGGTTATCTGTCACCTACAACAGCTGCACAGTCACAGCTCCATGCCAGACTTGCCCTCTCTGCCTTCCCTTTAGATACTAAAAATCTCTTTCAGGTTTAAGAGCTAGACAATAACTGAGCTGCTTTCAGAGCTGATGAGACCTCCAAGGATGCTCAGAAGGGTAGGAGTCTAAACTGGGCTCCCTGGTGCTATAGACTCTGAGACCTTAAGTTAAGCTAAAGGGAGAAACTGGAGGAAACTTGGACAACTGATTAGAAGCCCTCATAAGCTGACAAAAGCTCTTGTGTTGGTGTTAAGTTGTAATGATCCTATAAGGAAACCCTAACTTAAGGTAGTCCCCATAGTGGAGAACACATGTGGGGAAAACATGGGGAAGAAAGGAAGGCTAAGATTTCCTGAAAGTAAGAAAAACTTTAAAACATCAAATCCAAACAAAACCAACAGTAAATGAAGCCAACGTGGTAGTAGCTGACTGTCTAGAGAAACCCCCATGGGAGGCAGAAAATGCAGGAGGCGGGAGCCGCACCTGCAGGGTCCTGATAGGCTTAGGGTTCACCAATTTACTCCTGCACCGCAAGGCCCTTTACCCGGCAGGAAATTCCATGTTGCGGAGAAGAGTGGGATGAAGACCTGTGTAATTGGTAGTTCCGTTGCAAGCACATCAAGCATTTGGGAGGAACGGCTCTCCACGGTCGCGTGTGACCTTTTGCAGAGCTGGGGGATCTCAGGGTGACAGGCTCACACGCCCACGCTCCCTGTATTGTCACAGTTTTGGCAAGGCTGGGAGGCAGGCCTGTGCTCCATTTCATCAGGCGCTTGTGATTATGACAAATGATAAAATGTGTTATTTTCAACAAAGCCGTGGCAGGCAGAGGGGACACTGAGAGCTGGGATGCAGCAGGCTGCAGTGGTTTTGGAAGTTGATCCTTCTGTTCATGTCCAGGGACACTGAGACTGGGAGCCCATGGCTCTGTGCCAGTCTCCTTCATGCCTCCTCTACTCACCAAAGCTGCCAAGCCAGTGTGTACCCTGCAGGGACTCTGCAGTCACAGAGTGAGGTGAGGCATCCTCAGTGGAATCAAGAAAGAGCCACCAGTCTGAACTGGTTACTACACAGCACACAGATGTGGGAGGTCTACTAATCTGAGGGCAAAGTTCCACTTCTGACAGCTACAGATCAGCGTCTAAGCTACCTGAAGGGTTTCTGCCTCTCTTTCCAACCACTTTAGGGAAAAAAGCAAGAGCCTCTTCCCCAACTCAGACACTGCACATCACACCCCCAACCCAGAGATTGAATACTCTGGCCCCAGCCTGGTAAACAGCAGTAGTACAGGTGTACCTGGACTTCATCTAGCAGTGTACCCAGCATCAGAAAGCACTCCTCAAGACTCAAATTTCCCCCAGGGAGGACCTGTTTCCATAGGCAGAGGAAGAAAGGGGAGGGCTAGTGCCAGAGTAATAGCCTCAATAGCAAGATCTTTGCAGTAGATGGGGAGTGGAAGGTCCTCGATCCCTACCCCGTGAGGCCACTCTCCTTCTCCTACCTGTGACCCTCATAGTGGCGCAGGAACTGCCAAAACTCTAGGGAAATTACTGTTCATTTGTTCTCTTTGTCAGCAATATTTTTGAGCTGGTGTCCACTTATCTTCCACCTACACAGCACAGCTGAAAACACAGGGATGCCACATGAACTGTGAGCTCGTGACCTCGATTCTGGACACCTGTGGGAACCCTGCCACCTTATCTCTGGCTCCCAGCTCCTCATACCTCTCACACTCCTACACCTCATCTCTTCTGCCACATGTCCTTCTTAGGAAGAAATACTTCTGCAAAAATGAAGAGACATGACAGACAGTGCCAACAGCCATCAGAGGTCCACAGTAAAACCTCAAGAGAGAACCCTTTGTCCCCTGCTGTGCAGACCCCAGAAGAAATCTTTGGGACATGAGAAGATTCACAGCCTACCTATACCTGCCTATACTGTTTCTAGTCTTCGTTTCAAGAAGGTTGTAGTGAGAGACGGGGAAGGAGAGGGACAGATACCACCCAATGCTGGACATAGGCCAAGACCTAACACTAGGTTGGGGTCCCTCTGTTTACCTAGCACAGGCCCTGCCCTAGGTTCCTCTGGGTCAGCACTGGTCCCAATGTGCTGGAACAGCCACTGCTCCTGGGTCTCTGGCAAGGGCATAATTCAGGAGGATTGCTCCATCTACTCCACTGCCCCTCTTGGTCTGTCCTCCTTGCTAGACCCACAAGAAGCCACCATCTGGCACCTGGGGACACTGAGAAACCCATAATTTTAGCTGCCCTTCATCCTCTGCTGTATTGGACATAGAAGTCCAGGGACTGAGTGGAAAATCTGTGCCCAAACAATGTGTAAAAGAAATTCTCAAAGTCTCCATTCAGTAACCTTCCCAGAAGTGATGCCTGGACAGCAGGCTCCTGAAAGGAAGGAGCAGGAAGGCCCTGTGTCCTGAAGGGAACAGAAAAAGACAGAGGTTCTGTGCCTTCAAGGGTACCATCATTAGACTTGGGGTCTGTCCTATCACACTTGACCTCAATAACTAAGTCCCTGTACAGAGTCCCACTTCCCAACATGTTACCGTTTCCTTGGGACTTCAGTGTGTTCTTCTGAGGGACACAGTTCTACTGTGTCAATCAGCTTTTCTAACACTTTAAGAACACCTTAAGTCCATGGTTCCTTGTCTGCATCTGGGATTAAGGCAGAACATAGTGTCAGGACAACGTGGCAGAGCAAGGCTGTTCACTTAATGGTGGCAAGGAAGAATAGAGAGAGAAACAGTGACAAGATGCCCTTCAAATGCATGCCCCCAGGGATCTCCTTCCTCCAGCTAGGCCCTGCTTCCTAAAGTTTCCAGCACCTCCCCCAAACCATACAACCAGATGGAGACCAAGCGTTCTACACATAGACCAAGCCGATGGGGACATTTCATATCTACACCAGAACAAGTTGTCTCCAGTAAAAGTAGAAGGTCTAATGTCATAAAACTAGATTAGAAAGAACTTCTCCATGAGCTAGAGTGGCTGAGCTCACAGGAACTCCATCCCTTCCACACTGCACTACACAGAGGAGGTGTGCTATGAAGGGTGGTCCCTTCAGGGACAGTGGCCTCTGGTGCCTTCTTGGGAGGGAACATGTTGTGAAAGCAAGGGAAAAATTTGGGCAAGCTGCCTCTTTCATGATATAAGACAAGTCTCCTGTCGCCCCCTCCCCTGTGTTTCTCCCAGCGTCCCATGTGACCTCTCTGGATCTCAATCTGTCCATCTGTGTACCAAGATGACCCTGTCTGTTCTGTGGAGCAAAGTAATGAGCTAAGCTTGCTCTCTGGTTTCAATGATAAGAAAATGGAATTACAGGTGGCTAGATACCTTCCTAGAGTCACTGATCAAGTCAGTAGTCACACCAGGCTACTCTCCCTCTAAGCCCTGTCACCCACTCTGGCACATGTGCAAATGTAACTGTTTTTCTCACTCAATGGTAACAGAGCAGAGCACTGTAAGTACCATTGTTCTACTGTCCATAGAATTAATCATCCCACTCATGTGCTTTCCCAGGACATATTTACCCTTTGTGGGAAAGTATCATCATCTACATCCTGAAACACTCCACATCCTCCACAAACCTCAGAGACTGGCAACAGATTGCATCCTTAATCCCCTAGCCACTATGGAAAAGGCAGGCGTCCAACACTGTGGAGGATCTCCCATGCCATGCAGAGCTTCGCAGGCACACCGGGAAGAATGAAAATGAATCTGCAACAGTAAACCAGGCAGAGCAATGACTCAGGTGTTGGCACAGGGAAGAACTGATCAAAGGACCTAGAACAGAAATGGCTTGGATTCTCAGGGGTTAAACATCAGCAGAAACTCAACTGGGGCAGCAAAAACCTGGGGCTCTTTCTCTCACTGTCCTTTCTAACATCTAAACACACTCCAGTCTGTGGTGCTTAATTTTTGCCTTAGTAATTATCTACATCTGTCCCCGACATAGCTATTTTGACAGAATTCACAGAGTTTTCAAATAAATGCTTAACTGTATTATATTTTATAAAGTCATGCATATGTAATTCCTAGAGAAAAATAATCAAAAACTCACTTGAAACCTGTAATTTTTAAACTTACAATGAACTAAACTTCCATCCAAATACCACTTGTCAAACAAAAGTGACATCTAAGTGTTCACCACCCAAATTCTCATGTGAACCTCAGCACTGTGTACAAAGAACACAGTGGGCAAGCGTGCAAGCCAGCCACAGGCACAGATGATGCTGGGGTCCCCATGTGCTCACAGGCAGGATGTGGATTCCAAACACCACCCTGAGCCTTCTTGTCACTTGGTCTGACTGCAAAGGCATGCTGCCTTGGTAACAGAAACTAATTCATGCCGGGGCTAAACTAAACCTAAGTAGCAAAAGGTGTCAAGATCAAGTGGAGATTAATTTTTCCTACTCAAAAGAAGCCAATTCTCAAATGCCTTAAAATTTAGCTTCTGTTTTGATTTCTCATAAGGGGGCAATAGTATGCCTATACAGCACACACACACACACACATTGTCATACATGGAAGTGCACACACACAGAAGCACACACATACAATCTGGTGCACACACATATGCACACACACACCACACACACACACACACACACACACACACACATTGTCAGACATGGAAGTGCACACACACAGAAGCACACACATACAATCTGGTGCACACACATATGCACACACACACACCACACACACACACACACACACACACACACACACACAATAAACACGTGGCTGACAGTGCTCCAAGGTGCCCATCATTTCCCTGCCAGAGTTTACAGCTGCAGTGAACAGTTTGATGCGACTCTAATTTCTAATTATGCCTCACTAGGAAGGGGGGAGGATGTCAATTTTACTTGTCCCATGGTGAGAAACAAAATGATTCTACTTTCGGCTGCCAACCAAATCATCCTATTCTTCAGCGGGGCTAAGAATAATCATCTAAATAACAAAAATCAACAGGAGCAATGAACATTTCAGGAAGGGCTCTAGATTTTCCAGTGCAATGCACCCAGAGACTTAGGAGTGGCACAGTGATCTTCAGAAAGTCTTTGAACTTTTCATGGGATGCCTCACTAACTCTGCAGTGTGTTATGCTCGTGGACTCTCCTGCGTTGTTCTCCATGGGGACAGTGATGGTCATCACTGGCAGCTGCAGCTGCAGACTTCCACCATGGCAAGCATGTGACATGTGGGGCAGCAGCTCTGTAAGGCAGAGCTGAGCCTGTGCTCCCAGAGCCCACAAAGAATTCACATCCTGTGAAACAGGACAGAAAGACCTCTACCTAGAATGATCTCCCAATGTACCCCAGCTAAGTGGCTTTAAGGCCAGTGTTGCAGGTCTTCCTTCATTTGTCCTGCTGCTGAGTGCTTGACTGATGAGTTAAGGTGGACTCAGGGACTACCTAAGGGACTCAGGGCCCAAAAGCTCAGCCAATGAGAATGTAGTTTCGAGGGTCACATGAAAGCAACAGTCATTTCAATACACACTGCTCATCCCTACTGTGAAAAGGCATGTCCATACGGGATATGTAAAGGTGATGGAGTACTTCTTGAAAACCTCTTAGGAGGACTTCCATGGGAAACTTCACCACGCTGAGGGCAACATGACCCTACTAGAACCCTGCCCTTCCATCAGGAAGGTCACATACACTTGTCCTCATAAAGGACAAAGGGACGCTCCCACAGTGGGTGTCAAGGAGCATTCATGAGGACCTCTGTGAGAGAGTCCTGCTGTCCCCAGGCCAGGGGGGACTGCTGGGAACAGCTGCACCACTGCAGGTCAGCTAGCTAGGCCTCATAAGTCAGATGGAGGATGTAGAGTGTGAGGCACAAAGGAGGTTGATATAAAGAGGAAGAGGAGTGGAAACAGACAGGATGTAGGCTACCAAGCACAAGCGAGCCTACACAGTGCTCCCTTGGAAAATGCCATTTGTCAATCCTCCCAAACTACCCACACTGTATAAGAGAGACCCCAGATGGCTGACAAGAGTCTCATAAGGGGCACATAAAGGCTTCCTGGAATGTGCAGGGCCTCCCATTTTAGAGCAAAGACTGTTCTGGGAAGTCTCTTGTATCTGCTAAATGCGGACATGCCATCATCTGAGCCTGTACCTTCAATAGGCTCACTTTCAAAGTCACAGCACTCATGGAGTCTTAGGAGTGACTGGTGAGATCAACAGTGCACACTTCATACTTCAGGAACCTGGTGTCTGCCTCCGCTCATCTAAAAAGCATCCTTTCTTCAGGGCTCAGGAATTTGTTAATTGGGGCCTTTTAACCCAGGGTGTCCTGTTACACTCTAGTGTGGCCCTCCTTAGCACAAGATATCATAAAAGTTGCATGAAAGGACCCCTTCAGCTGGAAGCTGGGGCAATGTCATGCAGGACTGCCAGAGCTGACTTAAAAGAAAGTGAGCACAGGGTCAACTGTCCTGTCTATTCAGTTTAAAATTGGGATCTTTCAACTGCAGTGTACGAGAGGCCACAGCACAGTCAGACAATAAAAGACACAGTCAACATGAAAATCAGGATACAGTGAAGTCTTAAGAGAGGGAGGCTGGTCATATGACCCACATAACTGAGTGATCACGGTAGATTATGAGGAGAACAATTTCCATATAGGCTGCATTTCAGCTCAGTAAAAATACATGAGCTTAAAGCCACAAGGAGCTAGGTATAGTGGCTCACACCTCTAATTTCAGCACTCTGGAGGTTAAAGCCAGGAGGATTGCTGCAAGTTCTAGGCTAGCCTGATTTAAATAGTGAATTCTAGGCCAGCCAAGACTATATGGACACTATCTCAAAGAAAGGGAGGAGGGAGGGAGGGGGGGAGAGGGAGGGATCTTCCTGTCATAAATTTACTTAGAATGTAGGAGATACTACTTGAGCAAGACTATGTCTGTGAATTTTTGAAGCTAGGAAAACAATTTATCTTTCAGATAATCAGGCCAAGAGTCCCAAACCATATGAGATTACTTAGTGAAAATGCTAATGCTGGTGTCCCCCTCTACAGAGGTGATAAATAACCATGGCAGACTTGATATAGGTGCACAATCCTTCCCTCAGAAACCTGGAGACTTGGGAGAAAGGATAGAGCACTTGCTGGCACTTCCAGTCGGAATCTGAGCTAGATCTTGCTTGCTCTACCATCTCCCCTTTGTGGGTTGGCCCCGGGAAGAGCGTAAATCAAACTTCCACAGGGCCTTAGAATTAGGTTCAGGTAAGGCTTTGCTTACTCCTGCTTCATCACAAAGAGCACTACAAATCTCAGCTCTGCTACTCTTTCTGGGGGAGTTAAAAAGATTGCACAGAAGCACTTACAGAGCCAGTGTTGTTGAGACAAATCCACAACCCTGCCAGGGGAGAGGGGGAGAGAGTGGTGCTCTGCTTCCTCGGCAGCTTCCCTTTGCCTTAGTTGATCTACCACTTGCCAGTCCCTGAACCCAACAAGGCAAGGCAGCATCACATTTCAGGCTAAGTCCTGTGCTTCCTCCTGGGTTAGGGGGTGAAGTTTGCCACAGTAAAAAAAATCCTAAAAATTGAATAAGTCAGGAAAGGAGAAAAATACCTCCAAACCCCATCCATAAAGCAATGAAAAATGGAAAGGAACCATGGGGGTAAAAGGAAAGAAGGCATCTAAGAGAGAGGAACAGTAGAAAACAAGTGGAAAATGGGTAAAATGGGAGGGATATATGGAAGGTTAAACAAGAAACCATGGGGGTAAAGTAGAACAAGGAGCTCAAGAGAGGGAGGAATCATAGGAGATAGGAATTAGCAAGGATGAAATGGGAAAAAATGAGGATACTTTATCTAGGGAGGGAAGAGAGATTTTTAGACAACAAGAGAGAGAGGAGAGATAAATAATGCTTAGCTGGTCTGAAAAAACAGAGGTAAATGTATTAGTTCAAAAACCTACTGAAAAATTATGCTTACAATATCTTTGCATGTGTCCATGTATATATCTGAATGCTCTATAACAAGAAACAGTGCCAAACAAGAGAAACCTCCCTTCAAGTTGTTGGCCAGTGTAGTCCAAGAAACTCCCAAAATAACACGGGCTATTGCACAGCCCTTTGTTGTCTCCCAGAACTTGAAGACAAGACCCTATTGCTGAAAAAAGGGCATACTTCAGACACAGGACCTGGAGCAATGGAGCTGGAACTGACCAGGAAACCACCTCCCTGAAGAGTAGCTCTTACAGTTTTGGAGGACACTATGCAAGCTGCTAAAGGAAAATATCAATCAATGGCCCAACACCAGCTTTAAAGCTTAATAACCACAACAATGACCAGCACTGAAACTACATTGGGGCAGCAGTGGCACTTTTATCTTGGGAGTAGTCATCAGCTACCTAATTGGACTTAAAGCCCACTCAGTGGGAAGGAACTCATGTGTGAAACTGTAAACATAGTCAAATATTCATGGCTGGAGAGGTCATAGATCTTAGAGAAAACCTTAAGGCTGTCACATCCCTAGACAAGTATAATTTCCTACTATATGCTAAATATGAATTATTGTTATTTACAAACAAGTATGCCAGTCGCCACTTATCAAAGAAGCTTCTTTTGCAGTGGATGGAAACTTTTACAGTTCCACAACTGATCACACACAAAGAATAAGTGTCTGAAATGCCCAACCTAAATAACACATCTACAATAGAACCTAAGGTTCACAGAACATAGTGGAACAAGAAGTAGAGAGAACACTACTGCATCTCTTAACTCTCACCAACGAAACTCCTTCATGCAACAGAGGGCAATGAACACAAAAGGTCACAAATAACCAAAGCATAGAGAATAAGTCTGCAAAGTGTGGATCTTTGGACAGGACTCCTACATTCAACCCTACCCACCCAGAGCTCAGGGACCATTTCAGAAGAGGGGATGTGAAAGAGCCAGGGGACATGTTGCACGACCATATAGAAGCAGTCTTATAGGCTTCTTGGACCTTGCTCATAAGAATCTACAGCAATAGTGTTGGCATGCACAAGGTCCATGCAAACTCAGTCAAAAACTGAATACAGAACTGGAGAAATGGGCAGCAGGCCACAATCTTAGATGAACAACTATTGGCAGTTGATTACTGTTGGGTGAGGGAAAGCTGATCTTCTTTAAGGGAGTGACTTTAGATAGGCTAACTAGACTCCAGTGGATGAACTTGCACTAGGGGACATCTGGGCACACTAACTTAACTTGATAGGCATTAACATAAATGACAGAGTGCATGAAATCTAGTCCGATAGCTATGGGAGGATACAGATGGGGGAGGAGGCATAAGATGATTAAGGTGTTTTATATGAAATACACAAAAATTCAACACAATTTTTAAAAAAGAAAACTCAGCGAAAAGAAGTTGGAATTAATTTTTTCAGAACTCTAGGAATCCATGGAAGTTTTGTAGCAACCCACAGAGCAATTTACTAAGGAAAAGTGGCAGGATCTGGAAATAATCAGAAACCTTATGGCCCTGTCCCAGGCCCTCCCCAGTAGAGCAGTAACCTTAGAAACCACAGCCTGAGCTGGGGGAGGTGGCCCTTGCACACCTTTAATCCCAGCACTCTGGAGGCAGAGACAGGCAGATCTCTGTGAGTCCTCGGTCAGCCTGAAATAAAACCACAGCCTGAAAGCCATGGTGGACAGACCCTTGGACAAGCAAAGACTCCTTAACACCTTAGTCCTGAGAAATACCTATCTAGGCCTGCCCCAGGCCCCTGGAAAGACCCCACTTGCAAGGTTGTCTTTATCTACGTGACTCATAGTTCACCCAGTGGGAAAGCCTTTGCCTGGAGGTGTGTTTAGTTTCTGTTTGTAACACTTATTCTCCCGAGTTAAAAGACAACTGCATGAGGCAATAATTAGGAATGTGTGTTGATGGACACACAATAGACAAAGGTATAATTTGTGTGAAAATTATAGCTCAAAGGACAGAAGAGGAAATGGATTTACACGAGTGTTGCTTTTGTGCACAACTGAAACTAAATTGGTATTTTATATTTTATGTCAAATATATTTTATTTTGTTCTCACTTCCAGCCTTCTTTGAAGTTAAATAGATTTTTTTATGTTCCAGTTTAATTCCTTTACCTTTTCTTACAATTTATTTTAAGGTTATTTTCTTGTTGGTTGCCATGAGGATTATGATTAGTATCTTCTGCGGGGGGGGGGTGCATGTGTAAGCACATGTGTACAGGTGCACATGCTTGTGTATACACATGTGGAGGCTAGAGGTTGACTTTGATTGTTTTTCTCTATCACTCT